TATGCGTTGTCATTTAAAAAAAAAAATTATGTCATCGCTGCCTAAGTGGATTATCGAAAAAAAAATTTTTTCCACATAACAAGGTGTCCTGGATCAAATAAAAATCGACGGGTCTCACCGTTTTTAGAAAAAAAAATTGTTTAATGGAAATATGAATTTTATGCAGAATTTTTTACCACCCTGTATTTGTTAACCAGTCCTAATATGTTGTAGCACCTTTTAATTTATCGAGTTTAAAATTTGCTCGAAATTAAAATATGCTTGCTTAAAACTTTTTTAAAATTTTTTATTAGCATAGAAGATTTAGATAGTTAAAGATTTATAGAAAACATCATGATGGTATTTTCTCACACGGTTTATTATGGATAAATTAACCTTTTTATTCTATATTATACAGGGTTATTCCGTTTAAAAGTCCCGATCTCTATGCCTCGAAATTGAAAGAGATATTTAAGTTCTATAAAAAAATGGTACATATATTGTGCAGTCAACCACAAAGTTTTTTTTATAACAAGAACTTTAGAAAGCGATTCATAAAAAACCATGAAATTCGGAGTCACTTTTTTCCCAGATATTTGATTCTGAAAGTATTTTTTAAGAATAAAAATTATTTTTTCAAATTTAATTTTAGGTTATAAATAAGACTTGGAACTTTATACATATATACGTTTGTGGCCAATTGTACCAGGTCGACTAAAGTTTAAACTGTGCTTAAGTTGCAAATTAATATTTGTGTCAGATGTTAAAGAAAAATTTTGAGCAAAAAAGTAGAAAAAGGTCAAATAGAAAGCGAAATAAAATAATTATTATTGTCATTCTAACTAGTGTTGGCAACTGAAATTGGTTTTTTGGTTAACCGGTTTCGGATAATTCGGATTTTTACGAAATCCGAAAACCGGTTATTCGATTCTTCAAATATCCGATTATTCAATAATCTGTTCATTCAAATATGGGATTAATCGAATTATTTCTATCAATGTCAATAACTACATAACACTATAATATAGTTTTAGTGTTATGTAGTTATTGATATTGGCTACATAGTAGATACCTACTATAAAAATTAAGTTGAACTATTAAGGGAAATCCAATTTATTTTTATATTTGATCCTTGGATCTGATAAAAAAACAATCACCCACACCCATTTATGTAAATACATTGAAGAACCACAGTTTAAGTGTAACTGTCTTAACTGTTTTAACATTTTAAATTTTAACATTAGATTTAACTTTAAAAATTTAAAATATGTGAATATGTGATTAATATCTCATCAGTTTTTCAAAACGATTTTCAGATATCTGTTTTTAGCAATTATTCGAGTAACCGAATAACCGGTTTTAGAATATTCGTTTTTAACCACTATTTGCCTCGCTATTCCCCTAACCGGTTTTATCTGAAATCGGTTTTTACGGAACCTGGTTAGCTGGTTTCACTTTTTCCGGTTTTTGCCAGCACTAATTTTAACTAGCAACTTTACTCTGGCGTTAATGATTAGCAAAAATGTACACAGTGTTGCCTATGTTATTATACGTTATCTTTCTGCTGTAAAATATTTTTAAAATATCAATTAAAACTTATAGGCACTTAAAAGAAAAACACTTAATGAAAACAAATCGACACATCAACCCAATGATATAATAAGTTAATTTTAATTCTCTCACAAAGACAGTTACTTTTTAAACTATGATTCGTCACAATGCATTAGAGTTAGATTTAACTTGCAGTAAGAAACCAAAATATGTAGGTCTTTTTTTATATAAAATTCCCCATGGGACACATGGATGCATTATCTTTTATGCACACAGTAGTTGTCAAAATATACATACAAGATGTTAAATAACTATTATGTACAGAAACTTTAAGGACAGTTCTTTGGGTGAATTTAAGCCAGAATAGGTTATATAGAGATAAGCTCGGACATAAGTCTGCAAATCATTAATTTCAAAATACAGCGTGTTGAAATATAAATGCACATTTAAGGCTTACCTTGTATTATAAAAGTGACTCAGAATTTAATGACTCTCCACACTTTTGAGAATTACATTACAATTTATATGTACTATATAATCTTTTTTATATAACTTAGACACTAATATTTTTTGGTTTTTGTTCTGTATGGTACTGCGAAGATCATTAGGTCTCTGATACTTATTGTGTTGCCTTGTAGATGATGAATTCGCTAGTGATATAATCAACCTTCGCATGAAAACCGATGACTTTGAGCACATCAAGGTAATAGGTCGGGGTGCCTTTGGAAAAGTCCAACTAGTCCGTCACAAGTACACCAGACAGGTGTACGCTATGAAGAGGCTGAGCAAGGCCGACTTAATCAAACGCTCCGACTCGGCGTTCTTCTGGGAAGAACGCCATATCATGGCCCACGCAAAATCCGAGTGGATCGTACAGTTACACTTTGCATTCCAAGATGCGAAACATTTGTATATGGTGATGGATTACATGCCTGGCGGTGACATCGTCAACTTGATGTCAAACTATGACATACCCGAAACGTGGGCTAAGTTTTACACGATGGAGGTGGTGTTAGCATTAGACATTATACACTCTATGGGTTTCGTTCATAGAGACGTCAAACCTGATAATATGTTGCTGGATAAGTACGGCCATTTGAAGTTGGCCGATTTCGGCACTTGTATGAGAATGGATGAGGATGGTCTCGTTAGGTCTAACAACGTGGTTGGCACACCTGATTATATTTCGCCGGAGGTGCTTCAGAGCCATGGAAAAGGTAATTTTTTTGTTGTTGCTATTATTATTATTTTTTTTTGTAGATGACAAATTTAATTCAGTTTTAGTTAAATAAGTAAACTGTTTATTATTATTTATAAGTTTTTAGATATCTTAAAAACTGTAAAAATTTTATAAACCCATTCTTACGATTTTAGATAAGTTTTTAATCTTACATTTTTATTATGTGAGTATTAAAATATTTGAAATATTTTAAAAATAACTGTAGGTTTGATATTAACATTTAGTTTTATAGTTATGAAAAAGCATTTCAAGTAGCCGATGTTTTGTTATTGAAAAATCAACTTCTCTTATAAAATATTTATTTTGCAGTGAAAATAATTTGTGTTTATAAAAAAATTATTTTTATTCAAATATATTAAATGTTGAATGCATTTTTGGTATATCTATTTACAAAGTGTGCTAATTTTGCTGCTTTTGGGGTTTCCGAAAAAATGGAAAAAGAGTTGTAATGCTAGGGCCACACTTACATTAACAAGTAACGTCCATTATCGCGGTGATTATTGCGTTAAAAATAATAGATTAAATTACGCGGTAAAGTGAATAGCTTCACCCGTGTTTGATGTCTACTCAACAAATAATACGTTATTTGATAAAATAATTTCATAACGGAGATTGAGGCCGCTTTATACGAGTGTCAATTATTATTTTATGCTTTTTGTCTAGGATCCGTTTGAAACACTTCTAAAAGCTCTTATTATTTTTTCATTAGACTACTCCATTTTTACTCCAAATCGCTTTGATGTGTCAAAAAAGACCGCCAGTTGTGTTATTGCCATTAATAATGATAAATTAGCGGCCAAGTCATTGTTACACCTACGTTTAATGCAAGAAACTGCGATGATTAACCGCATTAGGCGTTAGTGTGGCCCTCTATTATTGCCTAATGTTTTAACGCCATTAATAATGATGATAATAAATTAGGGTGCTAAGTCGTGACTACACCTACGTTTAATGCAAGATAGTGCAATAATTAACGGCATTAGACGTAAGTGTGGGCCCAGCATAAAAGTGACAGGTGCTTGGTTTTTGAGAGAAATTGAATAGCAAACACTGCAGCTCGATTTATTTAAGATATACAGGGCGTTTTTCACTTAGGTTGTTTTTTGTAATATTCGGTTACCTTATTTATTTTTGCAATATAAAAATTTTTGTAAATTTGTTTTTTTTTGTTTTTTGTGTAGAATCTAAT